TATATATATATGTATATATTTATATAATATATAAGCCCGATTATTATTTTAGGGAACACTGCTGATTGGAGGGGCACACAGAGCTGATGAAACACCGGCTCCCAGCACAGAAGAGAGATCCCCACCAACTAAACGATAATGAGAATAGTTAATAACTATTTTCATTATCGATTAGTTGGTTCCAGTCCTAACCAGTAAGCTCCATCACTACATCTTTTTTTCTATGTGTATATGCAGATATGGCTATAGCAACTCTTAGGAGATCAGCCTATGGAAGAGCTTGGTGTGACAGTGATGTTCTGAGGTGACTGATCGTTAAGCCCATTAAATTTGATTCTCCCACCACCTAACCTCCTAGTGTTGCCACAGTAACAGGCGAACAGCATGGATGCTCATTAGATTGGAGTACACATTAAAGACACCCTGTCACCAGACTACTCTTTTTGATGACAGTCTTCCCATGAGATGAAATGTGCATTTTATGCATGTTATTTGTGAAAGCCTCCCTTGTTTAGACCTCCAAAACCCCTAAGACTGCTGCTGGACACCGCCAACTTGAATGTGGTGAAACCAGGCCTAGCAGACTCAGAGCTGTCACTTAAGTAACACTCTGTAATATTCCTCTTCACTCCTCCCCTGGTGGCTACATTTAAGTGTAGGTAGGGAGGTGAGTGATGGAGGAGCTGAGCAAGCACAGAAAGTTAAACAATCCCAGAAGAGGAGAGAGCTCTGATGTGGCAGGAGAGAGGAGGAACTGTTGCTGTGCTAGGGAATTTACTTTTCCCGGATGAAGTCAAATTTGCTAGCAAGGCACATTGAAAGTGAATAACAAAATGTTTATGGAAACAAAAAATGCTGCAAGTTAGCATTTAAAATAGTTGACTTTTCTGTGCTTTTTACTTTTTGTAACTGACAAAGTCTCTTTATACTTGACGCTTGAAAAAAAAAAAATGCACTAAACCCTTAGTTACTGGAAGAACAGACTGCTTTATTAGCCATTGTGCCCTCTTCAATTAGTCTCTTGTTACACATGGGTGTGCAGAGACACTTTAAGAGCCATAGGGCAGGAGGTTGCCTGCACTCACCCACCCACCCTGCATGTCTTTGCAGCCAATTCATTGTTTCTTCCCCTGTGTTTCTGGATCCTTATTGCCCATAAAAGTGCAAATCAGCAACATATTTTTGTTTGGCAGGATCAGTTTGCTGTGAGAAGCCTTTGAAGCGGCTCTGACAGCCAGCTGGCCTTGATGTAAGCTTAAGAGCCAAGAGATGTAGCTAATAAAGGCCCCAGAGGTTTTATGAAGTGGATGCAGCGGGACAATAAAACCACCGTTAGCCTGACAGACATCTTGGCCACAGATGTATACATTCCTTAGAAGTTTATCTGCTTGAGGAAGAGTTGTTTTACGTAATCTCAAAATCCACCAATAGGTTTGTGAATTTGAAGCACAGAAACTGTAGGAAAGGAAAATTAACTGTCCTGCCCCTACCAACCGGTTAGAGTCCAGTCATTTTTTTATGGTTGAGGTTAGCATCTGATTGCCTGTTAGGCCTCATTCACACTGCGTTAACTCGGGCCGTACACGTCTGAAGGGACAGGTGCTGCGTGTAGCAGCCTGTTCATCCTTACAGGAGGACATGGCCATATGCACACCCGAACTGCACATGGGTGCAGGTGTCTGTTCTCAGATGCAGACAGGATGGATCCTGTCTGTGTCTGAGCACGGACACCCAGACCCGCACGGATGTGAAGTCCGGGTGTGAGTATGACAGCATAAGGCCGCATCCTCCCATAGGGAAGAACAGGCTGCTGCTTAAAATCACAGGCAGCATTTGTCCCTCCCGGGAACTGCCCAATGCGGGCGTGCACGTCGCACGGACGTGTACGACCCGAGTTAACGCAGTGTGAATTAGGCCTTATGGTGTGCCCCTGGCCATGCAGTTAGAAATATTTAAATCTAATATTAAAGAGAACCATTGAGCTTATACAAGAACTGGAGTATTCAGTCTTACTGCACAGACTTCATTGTTCATTTTTTAATAGCTCCTTTAGCTTTATTAACAAATTTTGTGACACTTGACCATCACACCTACCTGAACTTGTTGGACATCCCATTCCAAAGCCATAGAAGTTGATATGTAACAGCCTCCACTCCCCTAGGAATGCTTTCCACAAGATTTGGAGTGTCTCTTGGAATTAGTGTCCAGTCAACCAAAAGCCCATTTGCCAATGTTGGAAAAGACCAGCCTTACAATCGGCGCCCCAATTTATCCCAAAGGTGTTCAGTAGGGTTAAGGTCAGGGCTCTGTGTAGGCCACTTGAGTTCCTCAACACCAAACCCATAAAACCGTGTCTTTTATGGAGCTGGCTTTGTGCACAGAGGCAAAGTCATGCTGAAACAAAAAAATGCCTTTCCTAAACTGTTGTCACAGGGTTGGATGTGTACAACTGTATAAAATGTCCTTTAAGTATTAACGATTCCCTTCACTGCAAACACCTAAGCTCAATAATTTGAAGCGGTTGACAACATACCTTTTGGCCATATAGGGTACCGCAGGGATGATTCCGAGGATTAAAGTTAAAGCTGAGAGGCCACCTGAGCCCTTACAGATCCCCTGTCATACTGATAACACATGATGCCTCCCTGCTTGTAGTTTAGGCCTTGTTCACACCTGAGCGTTTTACAGCACGTTCCTACGCTCTGTAAAACGCTCAACATGTGAAAACCAATGATTGCCTATGGGCATGGTTCCCACCTGGGCGTTTTACAGCGCCTAGGAACGCGCTGCAAAACACCCTATGCCCAAAGAAGTACAGGAGCTTCTTTGGGGCGTATTTGCCACGCGAATCGCGGTAAAAATGCACGGCACGAAACGTGCGACAAACGCGCATATTCGATATGCCTAGGTGTGACCCCAGCCTTAGAAAGCAAAGAGGCGGGACATATCAAAAAAGTGCCTGTAATTTAATCAGAAAAATTTAAAAGAGGCTCCCAACAGAAAATTAACTTTTTTTTTTCTCGGACAAGCGAGGAAAATGTACCTTAGATGGAGGCAATAACACAAAAATAGACGTTACGATGGTTAAAATCTGTAGTACATCTGTGCTGAAAACAGTTAAAATGGCACTTCATTGATTTATTTTTTTCCTTTTGGATGCTAAAAGATTTTCCCCTATTTTTGTAGCTCGCAGTCTCCAGGCAAATCCCCCTTCCCCTTGTAGTTAACATTATATTTCTTTGTTAAGCAATGAATCTTAACATAATAATACATTCCTGAAATACTGGTGACATAACGCACAGGTGCACGCTGCATGGGTGACGCAGGGCTCATATTAAGTTAAATTTATCCCCGTCTACATGTCAGGGTGTAATTATAGATTTTGCTGCCTCATGTCACACTACTCCCCTCTCTGTGACACGCCAAGGCATGACGGCCCTCTCTCTATTCAGGCATGCCGAAATATTTTCCTCTGTAAACACTGCCGTTGTTATGCGTTAGTCAAGGGCTTAAGGTAGGATAAGCGTCATATCCAAATATATTCTACAGTGAGCCCAGCAGCTGGACTACAGACATTACATAAAGAGCTATGTATGACCCATGAGGTCTCATCACTGACATTTTAGTGAGGACTCGGGTTCCACGTTGCGCGCTGATTATTATAATACATGCCACAGATCCCCAGTCTTTCCCCATTCAACAGGCTCCAGAAATATCCAAAGCGTGGGATTTACTAGATGCCTCTGAAGTCATCGGTATTCATAGCGCCTGGTTCTATTTGGGCTCTCCTGCCTCAGCATCCCATCTTTACGCAAACTCTAGAGGGGCAAATGCCATGCCACCCCAGCTGTCACTGTCTCCTTGTTGACATGCGAGCTTGGCATTTCAACGTCACTTGGAGGCGTATGGTGGGAAGGAATGAACTCGTAACAGAGGACATTTCAGACGGGCTAGCTCAGATGTTAAAAGTATCCCATTAATAGTTGGAAGACCCATTCACGTAATGACGTTGGTAAAGTAACCTTAAAGAGGTACTCCAGGAATTGCACAACTAACCCTTGCAGTGGGGCTACCCCGCACTGCAAGGGTTAAGTGCTTGTTTTGATCTAGGGGTTCAAATAAAGAAGATATACTTGCCTTATCCTCCAGCCCCGTCTGGCTGCTGTATCGGTTCCCTCAGCCTCTTCTACCCTGGGGCTCCAGCAGTCTAAGGACATCACATCACTGAGGGTCAGGTGAGTATATCTTTATTTGCGGCCCTAGACCAAAATGAGCGCTTAACCCTTGCAGTGCGGGGTTAGCCTAACTGCAAGGGTAAGTTTTATAACATCCCGCAGTTCTTTTATGCTAAACTCCAGGCAAACCGCTAAATATACAATTGGATGACATATACAGGAGCGGTTGTATAACATATTCTCTTGCGTAACCGCACACTTGTGTTCTCATTCCCAGGCCGGCAATGATGGACAAGACACCAGCAGACCTCAGCACTCTGAATGACGTCGGATACCAAATTCGTATTTAACCAGGAAGTGACGCAAGAATCCCGGGTGCTTCCCTTTGCACTTTACCCCATCCACCCCGTCTTTTTTTTTTTCTAAAGATCTGTGACTATTTATTATCAAGTTTTTATTTATGCTTTTAATTGTAAGATTAGCATTTTTACACTTTTTTTTTTTTTATTTGAAATACCAATTTTGCCAGCTTCAACAAAAACAAAACACCCTGATCACGCTGAACACCCTGATCACGCTGAACACCCTGATCACGCTGAACACCCTGAGTCCCTAGATGTCCCCTGAAACGGTGAATATTCACGTCCGGTCTCTTCCCCCATTAGTCCTCCAGAATTGGCACTGTGGATAATTTTGTTCCTCCTCCAGGGATACAGCATTGTGTATTGAAATACTGTAAAGTATTGAAGTGAGCTCTGTCTGTAACCAATAGGAGGAGACTAGATTGAACAGCGATACCTTTCCTTCAGATGAAGCTTTACAGTCTTCTGCTGCGTCCCTGCACCGCGAAATGCAAGATGGCCGCTTCTGACCTGTTACGTTCTATGTCACGTACAGCAATGCTTTCATGGCAGTTTCAACACCGGACTGATTTTTAGACCGTGTAAAATTGGACTTCAGCAACGTTTACTGTTTTATCTAGAACACATTAAAATGTTTTATACTAAATGTTACTGAAAGCAGCAATTCATAGAGAAACGAGTATGATAATATCATAAGTGACGACATTGCAGCATCAGCACAACCTCGTTCAGCTTTTTTTTTAACGATCGGGCTTATCAGGAACATGAGCATTCAGTCGTTAATTCTTAAAATAGTGCAATAGTAGAGAAATGGATATGTGTCCTTTTATTCACGTTGTTTGAGCCTTGCACTTCAGCTTGGGTGTGTGAGGTCAGAGGTCACCCAAAAGTAGGCATGACATCAGATATACTTGCTCATGTTACATGCGTGTATGCTAAGCACTTTTGGATATTCTTTACCCCTTACAGAGACCATAAATACTCCTCGTTAAAGGTATTGTATTTGTTTTTTCTCTTTAAAGTGACACTAAAGTCAGGAGTTTAACCTAAAAAAGGCATTCAAGTCCCTTAATTATTAACATAAATGTATCTTATTTGTGTATCACTCGGCTGTAGATCCTCAAATCATCTCTGAATTGGTGCTGACACTGTCCTTCCTTCTGGAGGGTGGCTACTTTTGTTCCCCATGGCCCTGTGTTTTTTAAAGGAGAACTATGACATGAGTGATTTCCACTCACCTCATAGTTCTAAGCCGACCTGTGACAATGAGACTGTCACAGGTCGGCTCAGTAGATCGCGAGGTGAGAGAACACATACCGGGTTCCCTCACCTCTCGATCCTGTCACGGCTCTCTGCCGTGACAGGGGGAGGGGCTGGATTCCCCTCTCCCCGCTCCGATCTGCCAGCGCTGACTGGCGGAACGGACGGGGGAGGGTACAGCTGGCTCTGCCTCTAGATAGGCAGAGCCAGCTGTCACTCACGCAGCTGGGCGGATCCCGTCATCTAAGTCGGGATCCGCTCCAGGTGCGACGTCTCAGTATACCGCGAGCTGTAGCTCGCGGTATACTGAGCTTAGAGTAACGGGAGGACGCTAGTTTGTGTCCTCCCGTTACTCTAAGGAGAACTATGGGGAAAAACAATGACCCCATAGTTCTCCTTTTAAAGTAGTCACAGCGCCAAGCTCACTCCTGCGATGGACTACAATCTCATGTTTAGTTTACTAATTTGTATTGAGATTGTAGTCCATCACAGGAGTGAGCTTGGAGCTGTGACTACTTTAAAACAAACACAGGGACCATGGGGAACACAAGTAGCCACCCTCCATACGGAAGGACAGTGTCAGCCCCAATTCAGAGATGATTTGAGGCTCTACAGCCGAGTGATACACAAATACAATACATTTTTGTTAATAGTTAAGGTACTTGAAGGTATTTTTAAGATTTAACTCCTAAGTTTAGTGTCACTGCAAGAGGGAGAGCAGCTTCCTTTTTTTTTTTGTTTTGTTTAATCATTCAGGGTCACCGTAACTTTCTGGAATGAGATGCTGGCTCAGAGGTGACACAATTATGCAAATCCTGGTTGGCTGTGTTTACATATAATGCAGATCAGCCTCATTGATTTTGATTGAGAGTGGCTGAAAATTGATACATCAATGGCCAACAGTAGGAGTTGGGAGACCAGTTGGGAAAGCAGGTGACCTCTGCCACCCAAGCTCAGTTGTCAGGCTGAAACAAAGTAAACCTAAACAGTCAGGCAAATATAAATCTTTCATAAGCGTGACTTTATAATTTATAATAATTTAAGACTAAATATTTAGGTTTCTTCAGAAGCCCAATTGTGACAGGTGCTTTTTAAAGGGAACCTAAATTGAATTTACACTCAACAAATGTTGTGGGCTGTTACATAGAATTATGATGGGTAGGTTTTTTCAATGTGCAATATATTGATTGAATTCAGTTTGAAGTGTGCTGAAAATGAGCCAAGGAAACTGTCCTGAGCAGCCAGTCGGACTCGAGCTCTGTTATTCACATACAGTTTAGATATATCATAAGGAGAGAACACCTACACGTGTGATTGCTATGGTATGACGTCCATTTTCCTGAGTGCTGGAACTCTCATTTAGAGAACATTTTTGGCAACCAGTGAAATGATTTCAATTAAAGGGGAACTATAGCATTATATTCTATATGTTCAGACTTTTTCAGTGCACGTACATAATTACCAAAGCTGTCTGCAATCTTATTTGCTTTCTTATTAAAGCGGGATTAAACCGTGTCCGCTGAGGATGGCATCATTATATCCTCTATTTAGACCTGCAGTTTTCATGGTATTGCACCTCATAGAATGTCAGTGAACTTTTAAAAGGAAGGTAGAGTTATTGTAAAGGGTCACTCCATTGGAGAGTTTTTGGTACATGCAGGACAGTTTAACCACCTTGTGGATCCTTTCATCTCTCAAGGACATAAGTGTTTAAATCTCTGTGCTGAGTTCCTGGGTCTGCTCACCTGCTGTGGCTGTTTCTTTAAGGTTTTTATCCTCTGTGTTAGATCTTTCTTATATTTTACATTATGGAAACTGTAATAGGAACACACACAGGTGGGCAGTAACACCCCAGAGTACCAGGTGAGCAGGAACAGAGTTGGAAATTATGACAGGGAGATCTTACTGTTGGGATATCCAACACATATAAGAAGTCGGGGACTGGCTCTGCTTACCAGGTTCATCTTGTATGTAAAATATCACTTTTGGTTAGATTGACCCTTTAGAAAGTGGTAATAATCCTATCTACAAACGATTGTACAAATCCTTGACATAGTTAAAAGAGAACTATGGGGTAAGTGTTTTCCCCCATAGTTCTATTTAGGGTCATGGGAGGACATATACTAACCTCCTCCCGTGACCCAAAGCTCAGTATATACTGAGAGTGCCCCGCAGGCAGGGCAGATCCCAACAATACTGCAGAGATCCACACAGCTGCCTGAGTGACAGCTGGATCTACCTATCTAGAGGCCGATCCAGCTGTGCCCGCCCCCTCCCACGTCCGTTCCTCCACTCAGCGCTGGAGGATCGGAGCGGGGAGGGGGGAATCCCTGCGGGGAGCAGAGACTGACGGTCACCGCTCTCTGCAGGTAGACGATCGAGAAGTGAGCGGATCGGTGGCATGTTTTCTGCTCACTTACCGATCGATAGAGCCGACCTGTGACAGCTTCTTTGTCACAGGCCGGCCCTAACTATGAGTGGAACTCATTCACCTTATAGATCTCCTTTAGCTCACAAAAATGCTTCAGTGAATGGACTGTGTTGTTGAGTTTGAGACTGACAAACTTTGATGCAATAATCATTTTGATGACAGATTGGTATATTTTAGAAACCGATTACACAGAAAGGACACTTCAGTCAATAAACCGCCATCTTCTTTACAACAGAATGAATGGTCTTCATATAAAATGCAGTCATTTGAAACAAATCCACCAATCAGTCTTGTCTAGCCTACAACTATAGTTTCACTTTAAAAACAGTACCGGTAATGATTTCTCCAATAAGGCAGCACAAGGAGTAAGAGATGTGCATATTGCCATATATAAGAGCAACCAATCAAGTTTCAGTGTTCATCAGTTTGGAACAGCCAGAATAATAAAAATAAAAAAATGCTTATTGGTTGCTGTGGGTTAAGGCATCCTGTACTTTTCTGCCTGCCTATTGGTTGCTTTGAGGTATAAAATCTGCTTTATGTACACAAGTGTGTGGACACCAACTATGGGGAATAACATAGAGTTGCCCCTCCACTTCCTTTTTGGCATTTTCCACTTTTCTGAGAAGGCTTTTCACACATTTGTGGAGTGTGTCTGTGGGAATTTGTGCCCATTCAGACAAATACATTTTTTTTTAGGACCGGTACTGATGTTGGAGGAAAAAAACCTGACTTGCAATCGATGTTCTAATTCATCCCAAAGGTGTTCAGTAGGGTTTATGTCGGGGCTCTATGCAGGCCAGTCGAGTTCCTCCACACCAAACGCATCTAACCATGTCTTTATGGAGTCCAGTGCTCCAGATTATTTGTATTAAATGACCCCTGGCACACTATCTGCTCTGAGCACAACTGGTCCCCCATGTGACCACTGGTATAAGATAGATATTGCTTGTGGAAATGATGTATGAAAAAAGAGAAAACACCGCTTTGAACTGTCTCTTTGCTGTTGGACTTGTAGTAATTATGGAGGCAGAAGCAACATTATTCCATAGAGATAATCTTTATGTACAGTAGGTCATCATTTCTCTACAGCACCATTTCTGAGGTCAAAAGAGAACAGATGAACAGAACAGATCAAAGAGAACTTCAGGCAAACTTTAAAACATTTTGTTTGAAGTGTAAGTGAAGGCCAACAGCTAAAGATGCCCATATACAATGTCATAACTGCATAAAAAAAAAAAAAAAACTCAATTATTTGGCCAATCTTTAATCCTTACATGATGTATCGATTGCTGTCAAAACAATATAATTTGGCCAAGGCTATGACTGGATAGAGAGGGAGCAACAGCTCGCTTATGAGGTCATCTGTGTGTGCCCTCCTCCAATCAGCA